GTGATGAGAACCCCATGGCCCTGCCGCACGCTCGTGGCTTAGGAAAGCTTCGATGGTGAGAACCCCACGGCCCTGCCACACGTTCGGGAGCCTGGGGAGCTGAAGCGGCGAGAATCCCATACCCCTGCTACGTTTTCGTGATAGCATTGCTGCTCAACATAAGAAGATCACAACGTCGATTCGTACCTTTTTCCTGGCGATAGTGAAAATCGGCCTCGCCGCCCCTTCCCCCGACCACCAGTCTGGGCCAAGTATAAGTCTAAAGGGGGCTGCTTTATTATCTGGGACGCTCGGTTACTGAAACAAGAAGAGGGGGCCATGAAATCTGGGGCAAAATCGTGCCCCCCGCCACACGCAACGTCCCCCCTCTAGTCCCCACCCCCTCTTGGACGCCCCCTCCTCCTCCTCCTCCTCCTCCTCCTTCCTCCTCCTCCTTCCTCCTCCTGTCCGCCATGGGCGGCGCGAACTTCGAACTGCCCAAATCCCCGCCCCAGACGCCTCTGGGTCGCAGCCGCGATGGCGTAACCGTGATGGACAGGTCGACGGCCTGGAGCCATAAAGCTTCGGGTTAGGGTCGGGTCACCCAACCCTTAGCCACACCCCCGACGTCATGATTTTTTCATTACGTCGACCACCGGATGTCTCGACCCACTCCCCAGGACCTGTTTTCCATCTCGAGTCGTTTCTTGACGGTCCCGGGGCCCAGCGAAGACCCCCAGATTCCCCCCCCCTAAAAAAAGCGCGCGTCGTGTTTTTTCCAAGACTCGGAGCGGTCTCGGTAGTCTTCCTCGTTCGCCAAGTGATCGTCCTTTCCTTCATGGCGAGACCCCCCACTCCTCCTCCTCCTCCTCCTCCTCCCCTCCTCCTCCTCCTCCTCCTCCTCCTCCTCCTCCTCCCTCCTCTGCCTCCTCCTCCTCCTCCTCCTCCTCCTCCTCCTTCTCCTCCTCCTCCTCCTCCTCCTCCTCCTCCTCCTCCTCCTCCATTCCTTCTCCTTATAGATAACTCCTCCCTGTCGCACCCCGAGGCCAGTTTTTAAGGCGGGCCAGGCGTTTCGCCTGAGACTCCCTCACCATGCATGACTCTGAAGCGTAAAAAGTGAACAGTTTCACAAATGGAGGGCGGGTCGTTTTCAAAATGTGTTTCTCGCCTTAGCGCCGAGCACATCCATTTTAGAATTTGCAAGAGTTTCACGGATTGAGGGCGGGTGGTTTTCAAAATGAGGCTCTCGCCTCAGCGCCGCGCGTGTTCATTGTTTTTAACGTACAAGAGTTCAAAATGTGGCTCTGGCCTTAGCGCTGCGTGCACTCGTTTTTAAACTTTGCAAGAGCTTCACGGATTCCAATGATCAACGTACCAGAACGTGTGTTTTGGAAGGATTGAGGATTATGCAGGCGCAACATTTATGTTAATTCGCTGTGTTGGAGTCCCCAAAACGACGTTCTGGCACGATTCTGGATCGCCGAGACGCAGCAGTGAGCTTGATACGTGGCGTTGAAACCCCGAGAATGTTTGGGCACGCTTCAGGGTCTTCAAACTGTTGTCTTCCAACGAGGCAGTTCCCTCAATGGGAATGAACCGTTGTAGGGGTCTCTGAAGAGGAGCTTGGAGGGAAGGTTAATTCCAACATCGTTAATGACTCTTGGGTTCTGCTGGTCCTCCTCCTCCTCCTCCTCCTCCTCCTCTTCCCCTCCTGTCCTGCTTCCTTCTTCTCCCTCCTCCTTCCTCCTCTATGCTTTCGTGGCGAGATCCTCCCCCCCTCCAGCTGGGGGGCGCTGGAGAGCTCCGGCTGGGACGCCCGAAACGGGTACGGAAAAAAATGAATACGATGCCAAACAGCAAACGTTGCCCCAAACCGAGAGCGGCCGCTGCTGGACAGCCGCCTGCCTGTCTCAAGTGGACGAGGCCCGCAGCGGCACCGACAGCCAGTCCTGTCCAGATTGAACAAGGACTGTTGTCGGTCGTCGTACCCATTCTATCCGACGTCGCGTTTTCTTTGCAACGTCGGACCCCAGAGGTTTTGACCGCTTCCCCGGGACCGGTTTCTCATCCCGAGCGGTTTTTGTTGACGGTCCCAGGGCCTGGCGAGAGGGCCCCGAGAGGCCAAAAATGTAGAAAAACGTCCTGTCGTGATTTTTGTCAAGACTCGAGGGGTTCCTGGTTCGCCAAGTGATGGTCCTTCTCTTCGTGGTGAGACCCTCCCCTTCCCTCCTCTCCCCTCCTCCTCCTCCTCCTCCTCCTCCTCCCCCTCCTCCTCCTCCTCCTCCTCCTCCTCCGCCTCCTCCTCCTCCACTTTCGCTCCCCCTCCTCTCCTGGTCCCTTCTTCTCTTCTCTTTCGTGGCGAAGAGCCACCCCGCCCAGATCTTGTTCACGACACGAGAGGGTCTGGGGGTCCGGGGGGGCTCCAGCGGCGGCGCGCGAGCGGGGCCTGTCGCCGCCGCCGCGGGGGCCGCCCCGGGGCACGGGCCGTTGCCTCTGCGGAACCGCGGCCGCGGGCGGCAGGAGGGATGGGGGAGCTAAGGGATGGGAGGGAGGCAGGGGAGGGGAGGGAGGCAGGGGAGGGGAGGGGGAGGGGTGATAAAGGAGGAGGAGGAGGAGGAGGAGAGAAGAGGAGGAGGAGGAGGAGGAGGGAGGGAGGGAGGGAAGGGAGGGAGGGAGGGAGGGAGGGAGGGAAGGGGGGGAGGCAGAAGGGGGAGGGGAGGAGGGCAGGGGGGGGGGGGAGGGAGGGAGGGGGAGGGACGATGGGGGAGGAGGGGGAGGGAAAGAAGGGAGGAGGAAGGAGGGGAGCAAGGGGAGGGGGAGAAGGAAGGGGAGGGGCGAAGCGGGGGAGGAGGGGGGCGAGGGGCGAGCGGGGGAGGAGGGGGAGGGGGAAGGGGAGTAAGGGCAGGAAGTTTGGCGAGGGGCGAGCGGGGGAGGAAGGGGAGAGGAGGGGGAGGGAGAGGAGGGGGAGGAAGTGGAAGGAGGGGGAGGGGGAGGAGGGGAGGAGGGGGAGGAGGGGAGGAGAGAGAGGGAGGACGGGGTAGGGGATGCGGACGCGGGGAGGGGTGGAGAGAGGGGAGAAGGCTCCAAGGCTCCCAGGTCGGCCCCGCGCGCGCCCGCGAAGGGGCACGGGGCGCGGGCAGAAGACGACGGCGAGAACGACAAACGGCACGACGACGACGACGAACGAGCGCGGCGACGCGACCGACGACGACGCGCGAGCGCGCTTGCGACCGACGACGGCAACGTGACCGAAGACGACACGACCGGAGACGACACGACGAACGAGCTCGGCGACGCGACCGAAGACGACGACGAGGACGACGAGGACGACGACGACGACGACGACGACGAGGAGCGCGGCGACGCGACCGACGACGACGACGCCGGCAGCGGCGGCAGCCGCTCGTACGAGGGAGGCGCGGTGGAGCGTCCGTCGCGCGCCGCGCCCGCGCCGGCGCAGAGCTGGGGCAGAGGCGCCGTGGCCACGGGGCGGCACGGGGGTGCCGGCAAAAACGGAGCAACGCACGCGCTGCATGACGACTGGCTGTCACAGAAGAGCATGTGATGTTGCAGCTCAGTATGTCAACCACCAGTCATGCACGAAAGGACGTGCGTGTTGCACCTCAGCAGAGGCCTCCTCAATGGGGTCCGAGCGGATGGGGTCGGAGGATCGCGCCGCATCGCCGTTGCATCGCCGATGCATCGGCGGTGTCGGCGTGAAGAACACCTGGCTCTGCACCGAGCCGTATCGCCGATACATCGGCGAGAAGGCGCGACCCTCCGACCCCATCTACCCGGACCCCAGTTGGGAGGCCTACACCTTAGGCGATGCTTAAGAAAACCTAAGTTTCAATGTAAATCCTAAGATTTGAATGGAAATTTTGGGTTTTTATTCAAGTTCTGAGACTATGAATTTCTTAACCCATGATTTCTAAAAGCATTTCGCAGGGTGTAGAGTCTAAGAGGCCTGTGGAGCGACGAGAAGAAAAAAGGTCAAACTCGCGATGGCATATCGGCCTGACGAGGTGGCCCACGTGGGCCGCCGGCGCGGCACGCCACATCGGAAACGAGGGCGCTCACGCTCCACCCTGCGCGGGCAAGCTCAGCGCAAATGCCGCGCATGAGGAGCCGAGCGCAAATGCCCTCAGGGAGCGCCTCCGAGGGCGCTCACACTCCACCTTGCGCGGGCAGCTCAGTGCAAATGCCGCGCATGAGGAGCCGAGGGCAAATGCCCTCAGGGAGCGCCTCAGAAATCATTCAACCATAGCCTCTCGCACTGGGGTAGTCACAGTGCTGGCCGAAGGGCTTTTCCGCGGTTCACATACCTCCCACAAGAGGCACACGCTTTTGTGAGATGTCGGAGCTCCCTTTTCCATGACAGACCCGCCGGAGGCTCGCCCTGTTCGTGCAACTGTAGGCCGCACGGAGGCGACAAACTATGTAGGAGCCAATCAGTATTCATGAGTGCCCAGAACAGTTTGGGGCAGGGGAACTTCTCTTAGCTATCGCCTCTTTCAGGGGAGAAGGCATTTGGTTTGGGGGGAGAAGAAAGAGGGGGAGGGAGCAAACACGCACACCTCTGGAGTGCCAGTGCCACAGCGGACCCAACGTCCCAGGGCCCGCGGAGAGGAGGAGAAGGAGAGCAGGAGGAGAAGGAGGAGCAGGAGGAGAAGGAGGAGCAGGAGGAGAAGGAGGAGGAGAGGGAGGAGGAGGAGGAGGACGAGGAGGAGGAGGAGAATGAGGAGGAGGACGAGGAGGAGGAGGAGGAGGAGGAGGGGTACCCTGGAGGAGAAGGAGGAAGATGGGGAGGATGAGGAGGAAGATGAGGGAGCACACAGGAGCAGGAGAAAGGCCCAGAGGTGGAGGCCAGGGGAGGGATGGCCGGGGAGGAGGAGGAGGAGGAGGAGGAGGAGGAGGAGGAGGATGGAGCAGGCTTGAGGAGGAAAACGAGGAGCAGCAGGCTGGAGCAGGCTGGAGAAGCGTGGCTGGACGTGCAACCAGGCTCTGCCGAAGCGCGGCGCCTGTCGACGCAGCCGCCGCGCGGCTGCGCGGCCGCCACCGCTCGGCGCGGCACCGGGGGCCTGGCTGGCCCCCGCGTTGGGTGGGGCACCACGGCGGACCGACGACGACCGACTGCCGACGCCGACGCCGACGCCCAACAACGACCGACGACGACGAGCGCCGCCGCCGACGACGACGTCCGACGACGACGACGACAATCGACGAAAATGAACGACAATGGACGACGACGACGACGACGACGACGACGACGACGACGTTGACGACGACGACGACGAGGACGACGACGAGGACGGTCGACGAGGAGCAACGCGGACCGACGACGACGGACGACGACCCGACGAGAGACGGCGGTGGCAACGAGGCCTTCTCGCCCACTCGTCCTCCGCGTCCTCCTCACCACCCTCCCACTACCGTTGGTCTCCCCCAGTGGAAGGGTTGGCGGGGGGCAGGCGTGCGCCCAAGGAGCAAAGTGCGGAATACGGGCAAAAATGAGGGCATGGCCACGAATATGAAGGCAGATGGGCAGGTACGGAATCCCGCCAGGCCTCTAGGGCGTAAGTGGCTTAACGAGTATTGTCTTCCCTCATCCTCCTCCTCGTTCCCCTGCTCGGGGAAGAGGTTTATCACTATTATTCCCTATTCATGCACACACACCCTCCCCCACCCGGCCGGCGGCCAACCCGGAAGCATGCCAACCCCATGAGGGCCCCCCCCCAACCATCTCTGTCAAAAAAACAATGCAAAACGCACTCTGCCTCCACACCTCCAACTTGGAGCCCCGCGACCATTTTGACCGTTGTACTTTACAGGGGCGGCTGGGGTGCCAGCAGATCCCATCTGCCTTCTGGGCGCAGGTGGTCGACCGACTGGCTTGACACATCAATGGCTGCTGCCTTTTCGCCTTACCGCTTCCGATGGGAAATCGAAACCTCCACATGGCTCCCACATTGGCAAAGAAAGCTCAAGGCCGGGCCCAAGAGCCCCTATCGGTTCCCAGTGGTTGGCGCACCTGGCGCGGCTGGAGCACTTGGAACACCGGGCGCACGTGAAGCACGTGCCGCACCTGGCGCGCCTGGCACGCTTGGGCCTCCAAGGTATGGTGCAGCTGGAACCCGTGGCGTCTGCGGCGTTCTTACGCGATATGCTCACTACCGGGTGTTACGTATGTGTTGGGAGGGCGGGCGGGCGTGAGCAAGACGGCTTGCGGGCGGGTGGGAAGCTTGGCCCCCACCCAGTCCCCTCCCCTGGGCCTGGGGGGGGGGGGAACGGGTAGCCAGAGTTTCCAGGTGGGCCACAAGTCGCTCCAGGAGGGCCCTCGGAAGCCGCAGGCGGCCTCCAGGGTAAGACCACGAATGCGCAGGCGGATGCGCATGTGCGGAATTGTTGAACAGTGGGAACTGGCCGGCAACACCAGCACAATCGATTCTGCAGGTTGAGTGTTGGTGCTGACGCTCAGAAGCACCCGTTTCCTTAGTTTTCCACTGTCTGGAACGTGAGAGTCGGACCGCGCAGAAGCAGAAGGCATGTTAGTAGCAGCAGGGATTGCTCGTCGGACTGGCTGTTAACATGCGCGTACGTGGGGGCATGAGTGCGCTGTGCGTAAATATGGTGTACCTGACAATCTGCGTACGAATGTGCAACAATCCACCTCCATGCCTTAGACAGTACGTGGAGTGCCCTCAAGTCCATCCGAGTTTGCTCCATTGAGATATCTGTCGCAGACAGAGTGACGGGGCCGAACGGTCATTCACTGTCCCTGGGTGCGTGGCGGAAGTGGGGCTCCACGATGTGAGTGTTTGTTATTTGTTGTTGAACTCGCATGTCTAAAACGTGATTGTTGCTGATCCCCACGGGCTCCCATTTTGTTTTGTTTGGACAGCGCGACGACCTCCACAACTGCCGCACTCGGGCACTGCATCTGCCTCCAAGAAAAAAAACGGCGCCCTCCCAGCAATGCCAAATCGAGGATAGGCCGGTACGCCCGCAATTGACGCGCAGCGGAAGGCCAGCTCCCATTGTGTTTGTCAATTGAAGTCCTCCTCCCGGGGCTCACACCTTGATCTCTGCAAGGGAACATATTGAGGCTCAGATTGGATTGTTGGCCCGGGAAATACAACAACAACGGCTCCCCGCTAATAATTCCTCACAACTTCCTCACAACTTGTGCAGGAATCGCGCTCCCTCGCGGTCTTCACAATGAATTCAGACGCCGCGCCCCTGACACTTCACAACTTACATTCCCACCCCTCTGTCCCAAGAGGGACAACGCGTATCTTTGGGCATCCAAAACATACGGGTACTTTGTCCGCGAAGTTACGCTCTCGCTTTAGCCTCTCTCACGTTTTACTTGGGAATCGCGCTATCGCTCGATACACCCTCGCGACTCATGCAGGACTCACGCTTCAGCAACCCGCCTGCTCGACCTGGCCGTCTGGGGTCTTCCCGCCCGATCTGCACGTCTGGCTCTGCCACGTACTCTCTGCTCCTAGCCCCTCTCCTGCTAATCTCTCTCGTGCGCCATCCTTCTCCCTCCCACTTCCATCCGTCCTCTCTTCCCCTGTTTTAGGGACTGCGCTAAATACACGTGGCAAATAAGGAACATATACCCCAGAGGGGTACGGTCGAAGACGAAGAGGGCGGGTCCCGAGGGTTTGGGATATACGTGTTCAATGGCACACAAGCAGGTCGGAACGAACAACCTTAAAACTATGATTGCTGCTGCTGCTGTTGTTCTTGTCGTCGTCCCACTCGCGACCCACCCGACGACCCACTCGCGACCCGCCCCCGACCCGCCCGCGACCCGCCCATGTCCCGCCTGCAACCCACCTGCGACCCACCCACGACCCACCCGCGACCCACCTGCGATCCACCCGCGACGCATCCGCGATCCACCCACGACCTATCCGCAACCCACCCACGACCCACCCCACGACCCACCCGCGACCCGCTCGCGACATGCTTGCGACCCACCCCGCGCTCGCCCCCTCACTCTTTTCCGCAACTGCGGGGTGCTACATATCAAAACGGAGGCCTCGGGGGCGTGGTCTAGAATCTTCCAACATGGCCTACGAGGGTCCCAAGACCCGTCCTGCAACCTTCTTGAAGCCCCCTCTGGCCGTCTGGGAAGCCCTGGGGACCAGCCCAAGACGCCCAAATCACCGAACAACCTTCGGTGTTTGCATGATATTCCCACTGGCCTTTTCGGACTGAAGAGAACGCCCAAGATGTCCCAAGAGCCTCCAACAGCGCCCCAAGGCGGCCCCAACAAAGGGGCACCACGCAATGACATTCGGAGCCTTTTATCGCAAGCTGTGTCCCGAGACCGCGTCCAGGCCCAAAGAGGTCCCCAAGAAGCCCCCCGAATGTGTCCCCAGGAGCCCCCCCCCCCTCGGCTGACCCCGAGAGGCCGTTCAGGCGCCTCTAGTCGACAACCCAGGCACGGTGGCGGGATGGGGCGAAGGTCCCCAGAAACATATAGAATGATACCAAATGGCTGGAGATGCGATCCTGTGTGTGTGGGGGGCACAGGCAGGAGGAGCGGCATGGACGTAAGAAAAATAGGCACGTGCGCCCCCTATAGCACCTCCCTCTTCATGCGCCTCCTACTCTTCCTCATCCCCCCTCCCTCCTCCTCCTCCTCCTCCTCCTCCTCCTCCTCCTCCTCCCCATTCCACACCAATCCACTATACTACACTACACTACACTACACTACACTACACTACACTACACTACACTACACTACACTACACTACACTACACTACACTACACTACACTACACCCCTCCTCTTGCTCCTCCTCCTCCGCCTCCTTCTCTTTACCCCCCTTTCCCATTCCTCCTCCGCCTCTTCACCCCCTCCTCCTCCTCCTCCTCTCCCTCCTCCTCCTCCTCCTCCTCCTCCTCCTCTTGCGCTTCTTCCTCATCCTACCTTCTTGCCATTCCCCCTCCTCCTCCGCCTCCTCCGCCGCCTCCAACCTCCTCCGCCTCCTCCGCCTCCTCCTCCTCCAGCCTCCTTCTCATTCTCCCGCCCCGTTCACCCCTCCTCTTGCCCTCCCCTCCTCCCTCATCACTGCACCCCTTCTTGTTCCTGTCTTGTTCCTCACTTATCACTGCTCACTCCTCCGCATCAGACCTCACTTCACACTCCTCACTCCTCACTCCTCCTCTGCCTCCTCCTCCTGCTCATTACCATCAGCAGCAACAGCATCTGCATCTGCATCAGCATCAGCATCATCACCATCACCACCCACCAGCACCACCACCATCATATCCAACATCAGCAGCAACAACAACGTCAGCATCAGCAGCATCATCACAACCATCGTCGTCATCATACGCGTCAGCATAACAACATAATCATAAGCATCAGCATCAGCATCGTCGTCGTCATCAGCATCATCCATATCATCAACCACATCATCATCACCACCACCACTATCATCATCAACATCATCAACATAACCAGCATCAGCACCGTCATCAACATCATCAACATCATCAGCAACATCATCATCATCATCATCATCATCAGCATCATCATCATCATCATCATCATCACCATCAATCATCATCATCATCATCATCATCGTCGTCATCAATATCATCGTCATCATCATCAACATCAACAGCGCCATCATCATCACCATCATCACCATCACCCGCAACAACATCATCACCACCATCATCATCATAAGTAGGTTAGCCAGCGTGGACCCCAAACATAACGATATAAAAATCTATGCGGCGCAACATATGTGGTGCAATGTACGCGATGCGACCTATGTAATGCAATCTATCCGGTGCAGTTTATATGTGGTGCAGTGTATGCGATGCAACATATGTGCTACAATATATGCGGTAATATGTGTGGTCCAATGTATGCGTTGCAACCTACCTAACGCAATCTATTCGATGCAATCTATGCGGTGCAATGCATGCGATGCAACCTAGGTAATTTAGTCTATGCGGTGCAATATTTGTCATGCAATGTATGCGATGCAGCCTATGTAATGCACTATATGCAGTGCAATCTATGTCGTGCAATGTATTCGATGCAACCTGCGGAATGCAGCCTATGCAGTGCAATGTATGCGATGCAACCTCTGTAATGCAACATATTTGCGGTGCAATGTATGCGATGCGGCGACGGCGACGGGCGGCGACGGGCGGCACGGGCGGCGACGGGCGGGGATGGCGGCGGCGGGCGGCGACGGCGACGGGCTGCGACGGGCGACACGGCGGCTATTTTGCGGCGAGGGTCCCGAGATGGCTAACCGAAGTAAGACCCACTAGTGCTGCAAGCACTGCTTCGGGAAATCATCATCAACATCATCATCATCATCATCGTCATCATCATCATCATCATCATCATCATCATCATCATCATCATCATGAGCATGATCATCATCATCCCCATCAACAACATCATAAGGATCAGCATCATCAGCAGCAGCGCCAACATCATCGTCATCAGCATCATCATCAACGACAACCTCATCATCATCAACATGATCACCGTCATCATCATCGTCGTCGTCATCATCATAGTCATCAGCATCAGCAAAAACAACAGCAGCATCAACATCAGTCTCACCACCAACATCAACATCAACATCCGAATCCGCATAAGCATCATCATCCGCCACCGCCATCACCATCACCATCGCCATCACCATCATCATCATCATCATCATCATCATCACCATCATCATCACCATCGTCGTCAATGTCGTCATCATCATCGCCATCAACATTAGCATCCTCATCATCATACTCATGATACCGGAGAAAAAACCCAAACATAATCTTTTCAGGGCTGTAGGGCTATAAGGCCACAGGGCTCTAGGGCTATATGGGCTAGTGGGCTATTGGGTTTTTATTGGGCTATTGGGCTATAGGGCCATCAGGCTATAGGGCTATAGGGCGATCGGGCGATGGGGCGATAGGGCTATAGGGCTATAAGGCTATAGGGCTGTTGGTCTATGTGGCTACATGGCTATAGGGCTATGTGACTATATGGCTGGAGGGCGATAGAGCACCCGGGTCCTCGGGCACCGTGGCATCCCCGGGCACCTCCGGGCACCCCAAGGCACCTCTGGGCACCCCTGGGCACCCCCGGGCACCCCCGGGCACCCCCGGGCACGCCTGGGCACCCGGGCACCCCCAGGCACCTGGGCGTGCAGCGAAAATCGGCGGCAAACCTAACCTAACCATATGAATCCGCTAGGTCCCCTAAAGAGGCAAGCTCTGATTGGGGAATTACCATCATCAGCAGCATCCGCTTCAGTATCATCATCACAACCACCATCACCATCACCAACATCACATTCATCGCCATCGCCATCGCCATCACCATCCTCATCACCATCATTACCATCACCATCATTATCGTCATCGTCGTCACTATCATCAGCCTCAGCATCAGCATCAGCATCAGCATCCGCATCATCATTATCGTCAGCATCATAATCAGCATCACCATCACCACCTGCATCATCATCACCATCATCATCATCATCATCATCATCATCATCATCATCATCATCATCATCATCATCATCATCATCATCATTGTCATCATCGTCATCATCATCAGCATCATCATTATCATCAGTATCATCATCCTCTTCCTCCCTCCTCCACGTCCTCCTCCTCCACATCCTTTTCATCCTCCTCCTCCTCATCTTCCTCCTCCTCCTCCTCCTCCTCCTCCTCCTCCTCCTCCCCCTCCCCTGCCCCCTGCTCCCTGCCCTCTGCTCGTCTTCCTCCTCTGCCTCTGCCTCTTCCTCCTCTGCCTCTGTCTATTCCTCCTCCTTCTTGCCCATCACCCTGCCCCCTCTCCCGGGCACCTCACCTCCTTCCCCTCCTTCCTCCTCCTCCTCATCCATTTCTTTTCCTTATAAATAAATTCTCCCCGTCGCACCCCGAGGCCAGTTTTCAGGGCGAGCCGGGTGTTTTGCCTGAGACTCCCTCACCATGTATGACCCTGAAGAGTAACAATTGGCAACAGTTTCACACATGGAGGGCGGGTCGTTTTCAAAATGTGGCTCTCGCCTCAGCGTCGCGCACATTCGTTCTTTTTACTTTGCAAGAGCTTCACGGATTGAAGGCGACCCGTTTTCAAAATGTGGCTCTCGCCTCAGCGCCGCGTAAATTTGGTATAAAACTTTTTCAAGAGTTTCACGGATTGACGGCGGTTCCTTTTCAACATGTGGCTCTCGCATGAGCGCCGCGCACATTCTTTTTAACAATTGCAAGAGTTTCACGAATTCCCATGATCAGCGTACCAGAAATTGTGTGTTGGAAGGCTTCATGATTATGTGGGTGCAACAATTATGTGTTCTGGCACGATTCAAATGGTGCTCTGGCACGGTTCAAGATGGTCAAGACGCAACAGTCAGGTTGATCCGTGGCGTTGGAATCCCGAGAACAATGTTTTGGTATGCTTCAAGATACTCAAACGGTTGTCTTCCAACGAGGCAATTCCCTGTGGAAACGAACCGTTGTAGGGGCCTCTGAGGAGGGAGTTTGGAGGGATGGTTTATTCTAACATCGTTGATGACTCTTGGGGTTACACTGGTCCTCTTCCTCCTCCTCCTCCTCCTCCTCGTCCTCGTCCTCGTCGTCATCGTCATCCTCGTCGTCATTGTCATCCTCGTCGTCGTCCTCCTCCTCCTCCTCCTCCTCCTCCTCCTCCTCCTCCTCCCCCGCCGCCGCCGCCGCCGCCGCCGCCACCGCCACCGCCACCGCCACCACCGCCGATGAGCGCGCTTGCCGTCGAACGCCGTCGTCGACGCCGTCCTTTGCGCCATCGCCGGTATCGCCGCCGCCGCCCCCTCCTCCTCCTCCTCCTCCTCCTCCTCCTCCTCCTTGTCCTCCTCCTCCTCCTCCTCCTCCCGTCGTGGTCGCCACTGTCGGGGTCGTCCAGAAGGCAGCGGCGGGCGGCAGGGCTCCTCTCGTCTCGGCTCCGCACGGGCAGCCCGTGGCTCGACGGACCTCGCGGAGGGGGGGAAGGCGGGACCGTGGCAACCGCGGTGGAAGGAGGAGGAGGAGGAGGAGGAGGAGGAGGAATGGGAGGTGGTGGAGGAGGAGGAGGAGGAGGAGGATGAGGAGGATGAGGAGGAGGGGCGAGGCGAGGGAGGAATGTCAACTTCCCGAAACATATGGTGCCCTCCCCCGCTCAGCGTCCGTCAGGCGTGGTCGAGGGTCCTGGCCCCCTCCGTGGAACCCCCCGCCCCTCCCTCGGTCCAGGCTCACAGGGATGTTCGGGACTCCAGGGGGCTGGATGCTGAGCGAGCTCTGAAGTGTTTCGGATGTTCGCGGGAAACGGCGGCCTTGCTGGGCCAGGCCGTACGCGACGCGAAAGCACCGCCAACGTCGGCGACGACCCGTGGCCTTGAAGCCCCTGCCCACGACCCCAGCGTGCTGGGGTCGCCACCCTTTTGTGTCCCCGATCGCCCCCCGCAAGTGTGTGTCTCCTCCTCCTCCTCCTCCTCCTCCTCCTCCTCCTTCTCGCTCTTGCGATGCGACTTGGACAGCTGACAAAACCCTGGCTTGCGGATATCACATTGGCCCTCCATGCCCTTTGTGTCGTCAGGCCTCTGACCGTATCTTCGACACGCTCTGCCAGTGCCCCCTTCGACGCTGTGGAGCAGCTGTGCTCTCAGTTGGTCCCCGCCTCGTTTGTCACTGATGCGAGCACGGTCTGGGCAACTGAGACTGACAGCCATGTGGTGGCGCGTTCTACTCGTGGAGCGTTCGCTCATCCCTCCGACGTCTTGCCGCGTCCTGCTGGGGAAGGGTCTGAGTGGTTGCTTTATGCCTGGCACGTTCCCGAATTCCAAAGCCCCGATGGCCCAAAGGTTCAAATTACGTAACGGAGAGACGTGCGGTCACCTCTTCCTCGATGGATCCTGTCAGCGCCATGCTGCCCGCGAATTTTCTCGAGCTGCTTGGTGCATGAGTATGAATTCGGATGATGAAAAGTGCCTTGGAGAGGTGCGCGGGCCTGCATGGGATCACGTCCATCAGACGCCGCATGCGGCTGAATATCCAGCCAACTGTGAGGGGTACCAATTCATCGTCTTTCTTCTGGCTCTGTAGTGATTGTGCCACCGTCGTTCACCACAGGTTGCTGCCTTTGCCCGAGAGGTACTCGGGCAAGCGAGCATATTCTGGCATGATGATGCAGGCCAACAAAGTTGAAACCAATCTACTTGAATCAATCGTGCAACTTAAGGCCCACCGTGTCGTGGACCTGGAAAGTATCTCCCCTGTGACAAATTCATTCGCAGAAAGAACAACGAACGATGCAGATGCTGGGACTAAACACGGGCTTCCGCTTCACCCATCGGATCCGGCTAGCATGTTAGAAGATGCGTAAGTTGGTGCTGCACGCGCCTTCTGTCGTGCTGCGAATGTGCAACCTTTAGGGCCAAAGCTGACTTTAGATGTTTCCAATGTTCGTGTCTCTGCTCTCCCTAGGACCCCAAGGCTCTCACACGCCTGGAGAAGGGTGTCTGGCGTTTGGAGGTGTGCCCAGTGTTTTCTTGACAAAAGGTCCACACAAGAGACCCATCCAGGAGCTTTCTCGAATTGGTCCAAAGTAGACTCTACTGTGCACCACAGGCTTGGGCACCGTTTCCTCACGCGTCCTTGTTCAATCGGCTCGGTACTCTTCTCATCTGTCTCAAACGTAGGCATCATTCCACATGTTCTACAATCGGACTTGCTTGGAGAGGACACGCGAGAGGACACAAGACCCTTCCGAGGGCCACGTTGCCACAGGAACGCAGGAGACATGGATCGCAAGACACAGGACACGAGGGTACCCTTGATCTGGCAGGGTCGACCTATAATCCGGGCCGCCTGTGTGATCAATTGCTTGGGCGAGCGGTGCGATGGCATAGGCTCCAGACATGCTTGCACTGGGTGGCGTCTCCTTTGTCGCGGTATCCGACCCCACCTCAAGCGCAATCATGTGGCACTCTCGGTTGGCAATGCACTTGAACGTTTTTTGAATGTGCCCATCGTTCTCTTTGGCCGCATTCCCATGTAGAATGTCAACCTGTGCGCACGGCCGAGCCGAGGGTCGATCCGTGAGGGGCGGCGGCCAGAGTGGTCGCTTCGGAAGGAAATCTCGAAGCCGCCGCCCAAAAGCGGCTCTCGCCGAGGCGAAGCCGTGCTCTGTCTTTTCTGGTCCTGCTTGCTGCTCGTGCTTGCAACGCGACCCGTCTGCTTGTCGGTTCCTCGGGGCTGCCGCCGCTAAAGTCTGACCATATTAAGCTGCTGTTATGTTCCCCTTGCGGGGTGGGGCGGTTAGGTGGCGGAAGTGGTATGGTGCGCCACCCTGACCTGCCCCTGAGGCAGAGCAGCTGTGCCCATGCCGCGGAGGCGGAGCCTTGTCTGTGGCATCTCCAGCATAGCGCCCTCCCCTGTGGCTTCACCCTGTATACATGCTGGCCCCCGTCCTCGTGTAGATTGCTCCCCTGTGGCCTCGTGTGCCAGTGAAGGGCCCCCCTGGCTTGGGTCTCTGGGGTTGGTTTCACGCCAGGTGCCCAAACACACCCTTGCCACGCAGAGCCCGTGCGTGCAGTGGAGGCAGACGTCTTGTGCAGCTGACTGTCGCCTCTCCTGTCTCAGCTGGTGCTTCCAGCTCCCTCGGCGCCTTCGCCGAATGCGAGCCTCTGTCTTTGTGCCTGCTGCGCGGCTCATGTCACTCATTGCATGTCCCACAAATGTACTGAACAATCGCCTTTGTGGCTTATGTGGTGGGCCTGTCAATGTCAACAGAATCCTCCTCCTCCTCCTCCTCCTTCTCCTCCTCCTTTTCCTCCTCCTTTTCCTCCTCCTCCTCCTCCTCTTCCTCCTCTTCCTCCTCCTCCTCCTCCTCCTCCTCCTCCTCCTCCTCCTCCTCCTCCTCCTCCCCCCCTTCCGCTTCGTTTTCCTCGTTTTCCTCGTTCTCCTCGTTCTCCTCGTTCTCCTCGTTCTCCTCGTTCTCCTCCTCCTCCTCCTCCTCCTCCTCCTCCTCCTCCTCCTCTCCTCCTCCTCCTCCTCCTCCTCCTCCTCCTTCGATTGATTGGATCGACAAGTGCGGGGGGAAAAAGGGGGGATGCGGAGCAAACAGCGGCGCGGCCGCGCGCGGCGGGGACCAGCCTCCCCGCTTCCCGACGCGGACGTAGTGCCCCGATCGCAGGAACTCGGTGTCGTCCAGCTCCCTGTCGGGGGGAGGGCGCCGAGAATGCAGGGACGGGGGGAGGGGATGAGGTGTCTCGGTGGAGAAGGAAAAAAAGCTGCACGCCCAGAAGGGAGGAACAAAAAGGAAAGAGGCCCCGCAGCCGCCCACCAGCCGCGCCGCCTGCACTAGCCAGCCCACGGCTCGGGCCGCCGGCACCAGCCTGACCGAGGGGCTCTAACGGGGAAAAGCCGTGGAACCCCGAATGCGCAGCCCACCCCCCGTCTCATCTCTGCCGCTCGCTGGAGACTGGGGGATGGGCCGCGACTTGGCCCCGCAGGGCTTCGCACAGGAGACTAAGGCCACCCAGCCCTGCGCGCCAACTCCTTCGCCGCTTCGCTATGGCGAACCCAGCTCCGCAATTGTCGCTCCGTGGCGTCCCGCGTCTGCGGGGTTTGCCAAAACATGAGATCGAGTCTCGCGATCTGGGCCTCAACTTTCGCGATATGGGTCTCGACCTGCGCCTCCCCCTGCCGGGAGAGAAACTCGATCGCGTGCATGTCCCACGGGCGGCCTCCATTACGGCGAAGCTCCCAGATCTCCAGCTCGTCGCCGAACAGCTCAGACACGTCGCAATCCGACTGCTCGGATTTCGCACCGCTGCCGTTCTCGATGTTGCGCACTCCGCCAACGCCCCTGACCAGCTCGTCGCCGTCGCCGAACAGGTCAGTGCATTTCGAAATCTTGCCCGGACTTCGCTTCTCGTCCGCGGTCGATGATGTTCATCTCGCCCGCACCACTGCCCAGCTCGCCGCCGAACGACTCAGGCATGTCGAAATCCATGTCGTTGGACGGTTTGACTCCAGGGCGATGCCATTCTCATCGATATGCACGTTCTGGATCGTGTCCTGCTGCGCCCATTGCCCATCGAAGCCGTCGCCGAAGTCGGGCGTGACAACACCGAAGAGGTTGGTAGGACAAAAGGCGGGCGCTCCGCCCGCAGCGACCCCGCGGCAGCCTCCTCAGCCTCGCCCCTGGGCGCCGCGCGCCCCTCCAACCGGGGCCGCCGCTGGGCACAGAGCAGCTCCGCCGCTCCCGCCGCCACGATGTCCACGCCCCGCGCCTCAGCGTGGAGGGCGACATTACGCCGCAGGCAGTCGAGCCATATGGGGACCTCCCCCCAAGCTTGGCCTGCAGCGCGGGGAGCATCGCCTGCAGCCGCTGCGCAACCTCGCCGTCGCCGATGACGGCGCTCAGGGCCTCCTCCGCGGCCTCCAGGCGAAATCGGGTCTTGGCCAGCTCGCCCGAGAGCCGCCGGACGGCGTTGTCGGCGAACCATTTCGCCCACTCTCGGTCAGCCCTGCGCTGGGCCGCCGATCGCCTTGGCGCGCACTCCGCGCCATCCCGTGCCACCATTGCTCCGTGAGCCAAAAGCCTTGCCCCCCAAGCCCCTCACGCCCGCCCGGGATGGGGGCACGCCGAGGGACAAGGTCCAGCAGGGGCCTACGGGAAAGGCCTGCCCCAAACTGGCTTGAACCAAAATGGCTACGGAGAAGGAAAAGGAAGAAGAGGAGGAAAAGGAAGAGGAGGAGGACTAGGAGGAGGAGAACAAGGAATTTCTACTTAGAATCAGAATGAGAAGACGAATGCGCATACGAGCACCAAGAGCAATAATAGGGATACAATAACTAATAAAACTACGAAGGCGAATGATACGAACGATAATACTAACAATGGTAATACTATTCGACGACGAAATCACATACTAAGATTGCTACTAGAATGAGAAGAATAAACCAATAAGCAAATTAATACGACGAGCAACAATACGAAACGGCTACCAAACATAACAATCATGAACGTACGCATAATCATGTGATTAATACTCATACGTAATGCTAGGTCAATACTGAGGAGATAATGAGAACAAGCATGCAAATCTTTAAAACAAAGAAGGACTAATCATAAGAAGGGTGAGGGGTTTGAGGGGGGGAGGAAGCGGAGGTGGGGAGGAGGTTGCAGCATGGTATGGCGAAGGAGGCATGATGGATCCCATCGAGGATCTTGAATTATGCCAGCCACGCGGTGCAGCAACCCCCGAGCGCCCAACCGCGACCTGACGCCGACGGCGCCACAGCCCGTGCGCCGCCTCAGGCTTTGAGGAGGATGCGGGATGCTTCTGACTCGGGGCGCCGTCTGCGCCTGCCCTTAGAAACGAGCCGCACGACGAAATTCAGATCTTCCTCCTCCAACTGCTTGGACCCGTTGCTCCCGTCCTTCAGGCTGGCGCCCGCGATCTCGATGCAGCAGGCCGTCCACAAGAATCCCTGTTGGGCCTGCTCAGCCGCCCGCCTTGAGGACGTTGACCCTCTCGACCCGCCCCACCGCCAGCCTGACGGCTACCATGGCAGCCTCGGCCATCTCATGTCCAACAGTGGACACATTGCACGCGCCCCCTTCCTTCCAACATGCCCATGTTCTGTTCCGACTGTGACTACCTACCAGACAACCCCAACCCAACCCGAAGACCCGAATTTCGGGTTGGGGGGGGTAAGGGTTCCACACGAGTTTTTTCGATGTTTCCCGACCCCCCCCCCACTGGAAATCGAGGGTAAATCTGAGCCTTCGGGTTGGGTTGGGGTGGTTTGGTGGGTGGTGAGACTGCTTGCACAAAGCCTGCCCCTCAGCCGCCGCCTCGCCCCCTTGCCGCCCTGCGGAGGCGCACCGGCTCCTCCGCCGGAGAGGCGCGCCCTCGGCCACGCTCCTGCTGGCAGTGCCCATGCCCGCGAAGTCCACCGACGCCTGACCGTGCGCCGCGCGGACCTTCGCCACGACGACGGGCTCGATCATCCCGACCCTGAGCTCCACTCGGGTCGGGCGAAAGGGGGGGATAGCAAAGGGGGGGTTTGAGAATCAGCTCACGTAGCTGATTTTCCCGGCGCCTCCCGGCGCCGGAGGCGGCTATGTATCGAGAAATGGGCCCCTCGGCGAGGCCGAAACCAGCTGCATGCAGCAAATTTCGTAACCCCCCCTTTCCCAATCCCCCCCTTTCGCCCGACCCGATCCACCTCCTCCCTGAACCCCTTCGCGTCGGCATCCGGTGCAGGCGCCCGGCGCGCCGCAGGGCGAACGTCGTGGCCGCCCCCCACCTGGCGGGAGCCTCCCGCGCGAAGCACTGCCCCCAGCACCGCCCCCGCCCCTGCCTCCTCCTCCTCCTCCTCCTCCTCCTCCTCCTCCTCCTCCTCCTCCTCCTCCTCCTCCTCCTCCTCCTCCTCCTCCTCCTCCTCCCCCTCCTCCGCCTCCTCCTCCTCCTCCTCCTCCTCCTCCTCCTCCTCCTCCTCCTCCTGGGATGATGTCGGAGGTCGGAGGACGCCAGGCGCAGACCCTCCACTGGGGAAGAAGGGATGCGAGAAAGGGATGGGACAGGCTGGGTGCGCAGGCGTCTTTTCCGGCGCCCTGCCCTGCCCTCCCATCCTTTTACCGTGGCGCAGCTCTCCTCTCTGCTCGCGCAGTCGGATGCCGAGCAGGGCAAGGACCCCGAGAGGGTACGAGGTGCATGGCCGTGCACGGCGTGCCACGGCGTAGAAGAGCACGGCAGAGCGTCGTCGGGTCGAGAGCACAGCTCCTGTTCGACAACAGCTTCTGAGGGAAACCAGACGCAAGACGAACAATGTAAAGGGACGGTTCGGAAAGATCATGGGCCAACGCTGTAGCAAAAACACGATCTGGAAGATCCACAACAAAGAACTGAGGTCAGGGCTGCAGCGGGAGTATGATTTGGAAGGACCGAGAGCCAGAAAATGGAGCCAACGCTGTACGTAGCGGAAGAGCCACTCTGGAAACACCGAAGATGTTCGGAGTGGAAAAAATTATCCTGGCGAAGGGCCCAACCATACGCAATTCCGAATGCAGCCGTTGTAAGTATCGTCGTTGGTGGAACACCCGATGGGGCCACGAAGCGTGTGAGAGGTGCGCCGAAATGGAGGTGGAACTGCATGCGGACCCTGCCACTGGGGCCTTCGGTGGAGCACCCTGTGGGGCCACGAAACGTGTGGGGGGTGCGCCGAAATGGAGGTGGAACTGCATGCGGACCCTGCCATTGGCGCCCTCGGTGGAGCTCCCTATGGGGCCGCGAAACGTGTGAGGGGTGCGCCGAAATGGAGGTGGAACTGCATGCGGACCCTGCCACTTGGGCCTTAGGCGGAGCTCTCTATGGGGCCACGAAACGTGTGAGGGGTGTGCCGAAATGGAGGTGGAACTGCATGCGGACCGTGCCACTTGGGCCTTAGGCGGGGCTCCCTATGACGCCACGAAACGTGTGAGGGGTGCGCCGAAATGGAAGTGGAACTGCATGCGGACCCTGCCACTTAGGCCTTAGGCGGAGCTCCCTATGGGGCCACGAAACGTGTGAGGGGTGCGCCGAAATGGAGGTGGAACTGCATGCGGACCCTGCCACTGGGGCCTCAGGTGGAGCTCCCTATGGGGCCACGAAGCGTGTGAGGGGTGCGCCGAAATGGAGGTGGAACCGCATGCGGACCCTGACACTTGGGCCTTCGGTGGAGCTCCTATGGGGCCACGAAACGTGTGAGGGGTGCGGGCCACGAAAAGGTGAACCCGGACCCTGGGGCCCGGTGGAGCTCCCTATGGGGCCACGAAACGTGCCGCATGCGGACCCTGCGCCGGGTGTGAGGGGTGTGGGCATGCTGCACTGGGGCCTTCGGTGGAGCTCCCTATGGGGCCACGAAACGTGTGAGGGGTGCGAACCGCATGCGGACACTGGGGCCTTCGGTGGAGCTCCCTATGGGGCCACGAAACGTGTGAGGGGTGCGCCGAAATGGAGGTGGAACCGCATGCGGACCCTGACACTTGGGCCTTCGGTGGAGCTCCCTATGGGGCCACGAAACGTGTGAGGGGTGCGCCGAAATGGAGGTGGAACCGCATGCGGACCCTGACACTTGGGCCTTCGGTGGAGCTCCCTATGGGGCCACGAAACGTGTGAGGGGTGCGCCGAAATGGAGGTGGAACCGCATGCGGACCCTGACACTTGGGCCTTCGGTGGAGCTCCCTATGGGGCCACGAAACGTGTGACGGGTGCGCCGAAATGGAGGTGGAACCGCATGCGGACCCTGACACTTGGGCCTTCGGTGGAGCTCCCTATGGGGCCGCGAAACGTGTGAAGGGTGTGCCGAAACAGCGAACATACGGGGGGCAGAGGCAGGGATGGGAGGAGGAGGAGGAGGAGGAGGAGGAGGAGGAGGAGGAGGAGGAGGAGGAGGAGGAGGAGGAAGAGGGAGGAGGAGGGGGAGGAGGAGGAGAGGAGGAGAGACGCGGGGCACCGTCTCTTCAAAACGAGGACCCAACACCACAGGATGGTTGGGAAAAACATGGGCATTGATGCCGAAAGCGAGCTTTCCAAGTAATTTGCGAGAAAGTCTCAGGCAAGAGCGCGGTTCCAGAATACACTGCGAAGACATCCTTGGCGAGGAACGCGATTCCCTGGCGCATTGACCGGACATATCGAGGAACCGTTGCTGCCATCACTTGGACTTTGCGAGCTGAAAAGCAAGACAATACATAGCGAGAGTCATGAGTGAGAGGACGTGACTTGCCATGGCGGCGCTGAGAAAGTTGCGGATAAGCGTCGAGCGGGGAGCAATGGTTGTTGTGACAGCTGCGCCTCCTCCAACCCATGCGCCTTGCCTCGCCATCGCTCGGACGCCCATTCCATGTGCATGTTTCGGTGTCGTGCGTGTGTTCTTCGCAAGGTGAAACAAATGATCCTCGATGGTCCCTGCCGGGAAACGAGCGATGCCAAGTTTCAAGAAAGTATAGTGCAATAGCGCATTCCTGAGTGCGACGACGCCCCTGGCCAGGGCGTCTCGAAGCATACTGCGAGGACGTCGCATATATTAGAGGGAGCAGTTGTGTATGCAGCTGGGCCTTCACCAACTTGAATCTTCTGCGAGGAAGTATCGGGCGAGAGCGAGAACCCCAGTAGGTCTTTGACCTCCCCGCTCCAATGGATTCGACGACCTTATTGACGCACTGGGGTCCCACCAATAATGGAAACAATTATTTATCCGCGGCACCCGCCGCGCAACGACGACGACTGCGACTACGATGGCGACTACGACTACGACCAGGAGGACGAGGAGGAGGAGCAGGAAGAGGAGAAGGAAGAGGAGGAGGGGGAGAGAAGGAGGAATAGGACGAGGAGGAGAAGAAGCAGGTGGAGGAGGAAGACGAGGGGCGGAGTTGATTCACCTACGAGAGAGACGGGGGGGGCCTCAAAACTCAAGACCTCCTGAGGTTATCCCCGAGTGTGTGGGCATCTCTGGCCGAGGCTTATCGGAGAAATGTGTGAGGACGTATCGGGCGAGAGCTTCACCAGCATGAAACATAAGACGAAGTCTCGGGCGAGAGCGCAGTCCCCGAGTGTAAGTAGAGACGTCTCTGGTCAGAGACGTCTCGGAAAGAAGTGTGAGACATCTTGAGCAGGAATCGTTCTCGTCGCAATTGCGCCTCCACCAACCCGAGCAAATCTGCGAAGACTTCCTGGGCCAGAGCGCCACCCCTGAGTCGAGGGAAGCCTGTAGCCAAAGCGCCTCGGAGTAAACCGCGAAGACATGTCGAAAGAGAGCCGCTCTCGTCGCAGCCAGGCCTGACAGCGAAACGACTTGGACGCAGGCTCTCGCGCCGAGCGAGAGCCCCGCCCTGCACACAAGATGAACCCCGCGCCGAAGAGAGAGCGCCGTGGAGAGCTCGACGACGACGGCAACGACGACGATGGCAACGCCCACAACGACGACGACTACGACGGTGGCAGCGGCCGCGACGAAGACAACGACGACGGCGGCGTGGACGACTCCGCGACGGCTGGCCGGATCGCGGACTCCCCGGAGGTCTGGTCGGCGAGCAGCACGAAGGCGAAGACGTCCCCGTCGCCGCGGAAGACCTCGACGTCGACGAGCTCTCCGTATCTGCGGTGCGGGAGGAGCAGCAGAAGGGGTGCCAACAAGGACTCCATCTCCCTACCTTCCCCTCCTCATCCCTCCTCGGTTTCCTCCTCGTCACTCCTCCATTCCTCCTCCTTCTCATCCTTCTCCACCTCGTTCTCCTCCTCCTCCTCCACCTCCACCTCGTCCTCCTCCTCCTCAACCTCCTCCTCCTCCTCCTCTTCTTCTGACTCTTCGTTTTCGTCTTCTTCTTCTTCCTCCTCCTCCTCCGCCTCCGCCTCCGCCTCCTCCTCCTCTTCTTGTTATTTTTCTTATTCCTCTTCTTCCGTTTCCTCCTCCTCCTCGTCGTCCTCCTCCTCCTCCTCCTCCTCCTCCTATTCCTATTCCTATTCCTATTCCTATTCCGCCTCCTCCTCCTCCTCCTCCTCCTCCTCCTCCCCCTCCTATTCCTTTTCCTCCTCTTCCTCCTCCTCCTCCTCCTCCTCCTCCTCGTCCTCCTCCTCCTCCTCCTCCTCCTCCTCCCTCATTATCTTCATTCACCGCCTTTTCGTCCACCCTTGTCCTCCCTCCTCCTCTCCCGCAGTCTCATTATCCCTCATCCTCCTCCTCCTCATCATCATCATCCTCCTATTGTCGTTGTCGTTGTCGTTGTTGTTGGTGATGATGATGTTGTTGATGGTGTTGTTGTTGCTGCTGCTGTTGTTGTTAAGCTCTCGCTAGTGGAAATAAGCATTGTTGATCCCCCTTCTGGTGCACATTGTACTTTCTCAATTGAAGTGCCTCTCCCGGCGCTTCTTGTTATTAGGGAAAGTGTTGAAGGTCAAACTGTGTTGTTGGCCCCAGGGTTACACCAACAACGGCTCTCGCCTGACACTTCCTCACAATTTCGCCAGGACCCCCGCTCCCGCCCGAGAAGATCCTCGCATGTTATTCAGGAATCGCCCTCTCGTTTGGGACTGCTTTACAATTTATGCAGGAATCGCTCTGTCGGCGCTCTGGAGTCGCGCTCTCGTAACTGCTCGCAATGGCCTGGATCCGCCACGGGGGAGCGACGATGCATTACATCGAGGCAAACATATGTGCCTCTCATGTTTGCGAGTAGGCAGATTGCGAGTAGTGGAACGCGCTCGGTGAGCATCCTCCTCCTCATCATCACCACCACCACCATCATCACCATCATCATCAGCATCATCATCAGCAGCATCATCAGCATCAGCATCATCATCATCACCACCACCATCATCATCATCGTCATCATCACCACCACCACCATCATCATCCCCATCCTCATCCTCATCCCCATCTTCATCCTCATCCTCATCAACAACATCAACGAACATCATCATCAGCATCAACATCATCATCATCATCATCATCATCGTCATCATCATCTTCATCACCATCGTCATCATCATTATCATCATCATCATCCTCATCAGCCTCATCCTCATCAGCAACAACAACATCACACCACCACCACCACCATCAGCATCATCACCATCAGCATCATAGTCCTGTTTTGCGTTGCGCAGACACGCCCTCCACCTCCAACGCACCCCGACTGGCGACCCCCTGCTGGTCTTCATCGATGGGCAGTGAGCAGTCAGGGCCTGGCCCATCTCGGGCGGCGCACCCCTCTCAGCACGCGATGACACCAGGGGCGCTCTTGACAAGGCTCTCGAAGCGAACCCGGCCGTGACGACGAGGGCGCCCCAGAGGAGGCCCACGCAGAGGCGAAAGTGAGGGAATCTGTTTCCCACTCAATGACTATCGGCCGGCGCACCTCCCGCACCCTTGCTGTGAGGCTGTGAAGGGCACCGATCGGTGGATTCACATTGGTGTTCGGCCCAGGAGCGTTAATCAGCCCGTCTGCGGGAGGCGCGTGTAGAACGAGCGTAAACACTCAAGGGTGGGTACAGGACAGCGTAAACAGATGTGGGCCCTGCAAGTTGTACTAAACAAAAACCCTACATCGGTACGATGTGAGACGCATGGGAGGTAACGCTGCCAGGCACCATAACGCTCTGCCTGTTTTTCGAGGCGTTAAAGCACGGTTTGATTATCACCACGCGGCTACTTTGTGCGAACCAGAATTGGACACCACGCGGGCGTCCCAGCCATACCAACACATTCACACTTCTGTGTGTTTGCCGCAACTGAGTACCACGAGGACTGCCCAGCCCGACCAATACATTGGAACATGCAACGACCCAGCGGCCAACTCAACAGCGCACGCTTCCAGTGAGAGAGGCAAGTATCGAGCTCCGATGGGGTCCAAGGAGGGCGCCGAGGCGGGGTCAAACCACAATGTTTAACCATATGCTCTACAAGCTACGTGTTCTGCCTTCTTGCGCCCCTTCTTGGGCCTACTTCAGGGCCCTCTCAAGGGCTCCCTGGGGTCCTCCGTGGCAACCCCGAGGCCACTGTGGAGCCATCTCGGAGCTCTTGGGAGATGTCTTTGGAACGCTTGTGAGATCCCCCAGGGTTCCGAAGCCCCCCCCCCCCCCACGCGAGGCTTCCAAGGGGGTTCCAGGATACCCCCAGTGGCGTGTATAACTTGAGGCGTTGGTTATATACCCCTCCTGGGGCCCTCTCGGGCCATTCCTGGGCCCGTCTCGGAGCTCCTGGAGGGTATGTTTGGGGGCTCTTCTGAAGCCTCCCACGGCCCCACGAGGCCTCCAAGAGGGTTGCAGGAGGCCCCCAGTTGCGTATATAACTCGAGGCCTTGGTTATAAACCCTATTTGGTGTGCCTTTGGGCCCTTCTTGGGCCCTTCCAGGACTTCTTGGGAGGTCTCTTCGGGGTGGGGGGGGGGGGGCTTTGTGAGGCCCCCAGGGCCCCCAGCCCCCCGTCAGGAGGCTTCCAAGAGTTCGGCAATTAGCCCATATCGTTTCCGATTGTCGGCATGCGCGTTTGGTTGCTCGAGGGCGGTGGCGGAATTGCGCGGCAGCGCAACCGATTACTTCCGATCGCTCAGCCCACCTACCAAGATATACACAGAGTTACAGATCGGGCGGATGCGCCCTCAAGACGAAACAATACGACCAGCATGTGATGATGTGGTGACGGTTTTGCTCAACATGTTTTCTGCGTGGTTCGCGTGCTGATTGACATAATCCTTCGTGCATCCTAGTTCTGAATGCGCCTCTCGCATTCCAGAAAGAAACCCTGCACGGAGGCGCACGGACAGCCCGTCCAGGCCAACATCGCTTCGGGAGGGGAGTCTGGGGAGTGGTAGCATGGGTCACGACCGCCACGAGCAACATCATGCAACAACTATCTGCAGCACACACATGTGAATGATGACTCCGTGGGAGAATGACACAAGTAGCTGATGTATTCGAGGACGCATGGGAGAGGAAAGGGCGAAGGTCCAGTCAAGCCCTCAGCTCGACTCCGAAGTTTCCTTGATCAGGCCACTGTAGAACGTAGCCCAGTAGTTCTTCCTGGAGACCCACATCTCGTTCGTCAGCGGCGCCATGTGAGCTGTGATGATGTCGTTCATCCCCGTCAAGACGCTCTTGTGGACTGGCTTGGGCGGGTGCGCGAAGACTGGCATGTGGATGAAATGGGCCCAGTCTGCTGTCGCATCTGCTTTCTGCGTCTTGGCGTCCGAGTAGAAGAGGGGGGCCGCGAACGTGCCAATCGGCGTCGACAAACACGCGCCAACTGGTAAATACACTGCTTGCACACTCGTCTCGAAGAACTGCTCGGCCGTCGCTGTCGACAAGAACTTCTTCATGTCCTTCAGGGCGATGCCCGAGCTCAAGACCTCGGATATCTCGAAGAGGAACACGATGAGATTACCCTTCACTGGATAAACGCAGCCCTGCCAACCTACCAATGGGAACGCAGACGGCCCAATGCGGACGGCGTTCTTCTTTGCGGTGGCCACGAACGGGCCACTTCCAGCATGCAAGTTCTCGCCGAACCCGAAATCTGTCTCTGGAAAGTTGACCTTGGTCTGGCAGCCGTTCCATGTCGAAATGTTCCTCGCCATCGCCACGTCGGACTTCTCTGTGGCCTCGGCGATCTGATCCCTCAACGTGGTGACCATCTTCTGGACGTTCTCGGGCGGCACTGTCCAAGCCACCACGTTCTTGGTCAAGTCAATCTCCCTCTCAGGGTTCAGTACCGCGTCCGCGCCGACAGAAGCCACGACTGCATGGCCAGCCGTCTCCTTCAGCTTCTCAGCCTCGGCGAAGAGTCTGAAGGTCATGCCGCCCACGTACTTCGCCAGATTGGCGTCGAAGCCTCCGCCCTTCAAAGCGTCGACGACCTTCATGTGTCCAGGCGACAGCGACGACGACGCGAACGACGGCGAAGACGAGGACCGCGACGACGAGGACGACGACGGGAACGATGACGATGAGGACGAGGCCAGCGACGATGACGACGATGAGGACGAGGTCCCCACGAACCTCGAACGACGATGACGACGAGGACGACGATGGCGACGACAACGAAGACGAAGACGACAACGAGGACGGGCATGCGGAAGGCGACGATGACGACGATGATGAAGACTTGCTCCCAGATCCGACGAGGATGATGATGACAACATCGACGACGACAACGGCGACGACAAGAAGGTCCGAGGTTTCAGGGTCGAAGTTGTGGTACCTTCTTCGTCTGGTGGCGCATGGCCAAGTACACCTTACGCTTGCCCTCCACAACGGTGGCATTGATGTACTCCAAACTGGCAATGCGGGTGGCAGCCAGGCTGGAGAACTCGCCCTGCTTCGTCTCCAACGTGTTGAGCTTGTCGCCGTGCTCGTTCACCGTCTCAGGGGCGCTCTTGCTGACAACCGCATGCAAGTCGTTGATCTCCTTGCTCACGGCCTCGAGCTTCTCGATTATTTCACCGCAGTCCTTCGGGGCGTCAACCTCTGCACGGTGCTTGTCCCACAACTTCTTCAGCTTTGCGGTCACGCTCTTGGCGCCAGCCAAGGGCTTCATCATGTCGCTGAGGCGCTTCATCATGTCCTCCTTCTCCTGGAGGGCCACCACGTGTTCTCCTTTATC